TTCCAACAGCGCCCTTATTTTGGATGATTGCGCTGGACCAGTTCAACTCCTCAAGTTTTCCCCCACCTTAGAGTCCAATTCTAGATTATCTGGTGTAACACCATCATTACAAGCCCATTTTGGAGCTCCACAGGCAGTTGCCAGCTTCAAAAGCAGTAAAGGTAGCTCTCTGAGCTCAGATGGCTCCTTGTACGACTTGCCCTGGGGGACTAGTGTTGAACTTCACGATTCAGACAATGGATCCCCTAATAGCCAAAGACCAAGTATTTCAACAAAAGTGGGTTTTCTCACTGAGCAGTTGCCTGCCATTACTATAGCTGACCTCTACAAAGATCCCAGAATTGCTGCCACCTTCCCCATGGTTAAGGATTTGCAGTTTTCAAATAATAGCCATTTAAAGCACAGGTCCTCCTTTGTGTCCGTGATGGAGGAACTCTGGTCAGAGGGGGGCCAAGAGGAAATGCAATATTGCTCCGTCACCCTACCTAGCCAGAAACCAAAGCCTTTTCTAGACAATAATGGAAAGAAAGTGTCCATCAGGAACAGATTTAGGCGTATTAGTGACTGGACTGGAAGTTTGACCAGGAAAAAAAGGAAGTTTCAGGTAAGGACAATTTTTTGGTTGGTTGTTTCCATTTCATTTTCGTTTTATTTAGAAAGTTGGATGATGTAATTGGATTTTTACCAATGTGAACCCCTGTCTTTTGGGGGGGGGGGGGCGTCCTTTTTAAAATCGAGTTTTTATTGTTAGTCGTGCTTGTTGAATTATTGATGACTATGAATGTGTCTGGGAAAAATAGCAAGAAGATATTTTAATAATTTATTAATAAACTAGTGTTTTCTGAGACCGAATCTGCAAAGATGAAGCTGACGATTCTGACTAGCCATCTCCGCAGTACAGTGGATGTGCCTTCAGAGAGAAATGCACCTTTTTCGATTTGAATTGTTTCGTTTTAGAATAGACATTTCAAGCTTTCTATATATTTCTCATATCTGTGAGGCATATAGCTTATGTACCCTGAGTTTTGGTTAATTTTTGTGCTGCGCTCCAGTGCACGAGAGACCGAGACGGCAGAAAGCCGTTTTTCTTTATTTTACTAAAGCACAGCGTTTTTTTTGTTATTGTGAGTGTACACAAATAAAAGTAGACTTTACAGTTTTGATTGATGTATTACTCTTATTTATATATGAGCAAAAATTATTGTGTATTTTAAGTTATTTCTACTGTTATCAGGAAGAAAAAAAAAGTGATCATGCTGCTGCCTCCATGCATTAAGCACGCTTTCAGTGCAAACACTTGGACATGCACCTAACAACGCACATTTATCTAGGTTAAACGTTTAAACTAACATTGTGATATGTTTGAAGTGTTTCATGTCTATGGATTTTATTGTAGGCAAGTCAAGTTTTGATTTGAGAAGGCTTAATTGATCAAACATGGTCACTTTAAAAAACTTGTGTTTAACAAACAAAAAATTTAACCTCTTTGCCATTAAAAACAAAACAGAACTATTTTAATGGCTGCATCAGTAGGCTGTGTAATGGGGAGGAGAGAAAAAAACAGACATGGGCTCCAGTCTGACTCGGGTCGAGAATTCTGATAAGCTGTCGGACAAGAGCCGGGCTAGGGCCTGAGCGTCTCGAGCCAGGGCCAGGCTAAAAGCCGTGCAGGGCTTTAATGCACAGCTAGCTGTGCATTAAATGATTTTAATGCAAGATGAGGAGGCCAAGAATTGCCTCCACGGAGTGCATTAAAATCGTTTAATGCACAGCTAGCCATGCATTATCGCACTTATACCATGGTCATTTGCCAGTATTGACAAGTTAAAGCTTAATGATGTTTACTGGGAAACATTTCAACGGAAAGGTAAAAAAAATGACTGTTATTTTCGTCAGTTACAGCTCGTTAGTGCTAGCATTCTGCCCGCATCAAATCAGATACAGAGATGAAATAGTGCTGTAAGACCACATTTATTTGAATGAATTATAGCATTTATTTGAATTTTTTATCGATTGATCGACCGATTGAGAGAGAGATGACAGTTTTGTTACCTGCATCTGCGTCTCTCTCTACAAACAATGAAACTGTTTAGTTACTTCAAAAACAACGATTTTACCAACTCGTTGATGAGAAATATAATGTAGCGATCTGATTTCCATCTGTGCGCACAGAAACTCTCTCCCTCTGTTTCTCTGTGTGTGTGTGTGTGTGTGTGCGTCAATGAAAGCAGCGCATTAATAAAGAAGGTGATTAAACTTTCTTTGAACTACCTGTGCATTAATTGGTTTTAATGCATACCTGCTGGCCAGCCAATCAGAAACAAATATTCAGACAGACCATGGTATAAGAAAAAATTAATTGCATGCAAACATCGCAGTTTATCTAATTATTATTATTATTATTATTATTTTGTTACAGTAAGCACATTAACACTCAATAACACAATAACATTTGTCATTTTTATTTAATTTCTTTATTTTTAAAATGTGTATAAGTAGTATTTATAAAGTTTTAGCATTTAGTTTTGGATCTGTTTTTAGTTGTTTTAATACTACAACTGATTGCTTCTGTTGTCCTCATTTGTAAGTCGTAAAATAACACATTAAACACATTGCTGTATGTTTGAATAGCCTGGAATTTGGTCTTTGGCCTACATAAGGTTTTTT